CCACGCCCATCATCCGCACGGCCTCGGCGCCGTTCTCTAGCACGCCGACGTAGTCCAGGTGGGACGGGCCGCCGTCGAGGAGGCGGCTCAGCGGTGTCACGCCCACGAACTGTAGTCGCATGTCTCCCAGTCTGCAAAGGGGAACATCACTTCGTCAGGCGTGCACTCGTTAACCGGGGCGGCGAGGGGACTTCGCTCGCTCGCACCTGGTTGCGGCCAGAGCGGTGCTGAGTGTGCAGGGCTTTTGGACGTGCATCGCGGGCGCTGGTGTGCTCCACACGCCTCCCTCCCTCAGCACGTTCACGCGGAAACCGCGCGCCAGCTGGTGGAGCTCCTTGTCCACGTCAAAGGCGGGGGCCTTCTCATCCTCGATGAACACCAGCCTACAGCAATGTAAGCAGATCTCGAAATGCTGAACTACCGGTAAAGGCTACAAAGGCTTTTGAAATCCCTTTCGCAGGGGGTTAAGTGAACCCGCCTGCTCGTTGTTCTGCAAGGGTTCGCTGCAACAGCAAGGTGCAAGGTGTACCTGGTTTTGGCAGCGTAGGGAAGAGCTTCCACCTTCTTCTGGATATCTTGAATGTTTTGCCGCAGCTTGCCGGGGCCTGACCGCGAGACCAGGACGACAGTGGTGGTTGGCCTTGCGTTCCTAGGGAGCGTTGTCTCCCCGTCCAGGTGCACCACCACGGTGTCCTTCTTGTCCAAGGGCTGGGCGCGGCGGAGCAACGTCAGCCACTCGCCGATCAAGCACTGCTGCTGGGCCAGGATGCTGATGTCCACGCTAGCGGACCACTTGTGCTTGACGGTCAGGCGGTCTGTCGACCAGACGAGCAGGGCGTCGGCCAGCCCCACCTCGAGGACTTGCATGGCCTCGGCCATGGTGTTGGGGCCCGTGACAAGCAGCGGAACCTTTCCTCTGAACCCTGGCGGGCTTGTGCCCTCCGTGGTCAGCGCTACCACGTACGCCTGCAAGCGGACAGAGACTGCGTCAGAGAGCACCAGGCATGAGCTGGAGGGCGAAAGATGAGTGGGTACCTGCGCGTAACCGGCTGCCCGAGTGGCGCTCAGCACCATCGTGCTGAGCGCAGCGGTCTTCTTGCCGTTGGGCAGCTCCAGGAAGGTGACCTTGGCTGCATCTTGGTACTGGGCGCCCATTAGAACCACGGTCACCGCCATCCGTACGAACTCCTCTGGCGTCTTGAAGCTTGTCTCGCCGAGGGGCAGCAGCTCAGGAGTTGGCAGGGACTGGACGCGGAGCGCGGGGGGCAGCTCCTGAAGAGTTACCCCGCTCGCGTACACGCAATCCCCAACCAGGATGCCGGTGGCCAGCTCCAGGCGCAGCGTGACTTCTGAAAGTGTGGGTCAGCATGAAAGGGCGGATTGGGTGGGGAACGGAGTCACCTGCAACCCTCCTTTAGAACACCACCAATACCTGTCTTATTCTTGAGCGTC